CTAGTCTATAGTCTAGTCTATAGTCTAGTCTATAGTCTAGTCTATAGTCTAGTCTATAGTCTAGTCTATAGTCTAGTCTATAGTCTAGTCTATAGTCTAGTCTATAGTCTAGTCTATAGTCTAGTCTATAGTCTAGTCTATAGTCTAGTCTATAGTCTAGTCTATAGTCTAGTCTATAGTCTAGTCTATAGTCTAGTCTATAGTCTAGTCTATAGTCTAGTCTATAGTCTAGTCTATAGTCTAGTCTATAGTCAGTCTATAGTCTAGTCTATAGTCTAGTCTATAGTCTAGTCCTATAGTCTAGTCTATAGTCTAGTCTATAGTCTAGTCTATAGTCTAGTCTATAGTCTAGTCTATAGTCTAGTCTATAGTCCTAGTCTATAGTCTAGTCTATAGTCTAGTCTATAGTCTAGTCTATAGTCTAGTCTATATTCTAGTCTATAGTCTAGTCGATAGTTAGTTCTATAGTCTAAATACTCGGTTATAACGAAGCCTATAGTAGCGACTATAGTCTTGGCTTCCTTGGTACGTAGTCTCCTTATACATATAGCAGAACTTGCTTGGAACATTCTAAATTTTTTTACAATTCTCACTGGACTCGGAATAGTCCATTTTAATCAATTAACACAAAATTTCATCACCAACTTGTTTCAAAAAATCTTATTAACTTTTATTGTGATTAACATTTACCTTTTCTTCATACTTCTGCATTATTTCGATCAAGGGCTCATTAAGATATTTTCGCACTTCCATGTGGGTATTAAAATCACCATGATTCCAGGTGGGATCTGCCATATGATGCATTATACGATTGGGTAAAAGAGCAGCCAAACGTTCAACATCCACCACAGCAGCCATTTCATCATTATCACTATACCATAAATGTAGTTCCGCGGAAATTAGGTGTACAGGATAATCGGGAGGAGTAGGTTGACCATAGAGTTGCATATTTTTACCAGACCATGATCATATTGACAAAAACAGGCGGATTGTTGTTCCTGCATGTAGTGGCAAATTTGATTGGTAGAACAACCAGCCGGATGAGTTTGGGCGGTGATGATAAAGGCGGTCTGAAAATAGGGGTTTTAATGGGTTTTAGGCAAATTTTAAATAGTTAACCTACCGCATTTGAGTTACTCTCTTCCCCCTGTACTAAATAGGCCATGGAATTGCATAAATGTTGATATTTTGAGTCGGGATTACAGGCATTATAACCTAATTTTACAAACAAATCATTGTAGGGCAAAAACTCCTGACTATCAAAGAGGGCAGCATATTTATTGGGATGACCCAAATAGGGAGCCAATGTTCGCACCAATAAATCTTCCATATTATTCATAAAAGCCACCGGGGCCAACATATGAGCAGTTTTTATCTTTTCATTATATTCTGGACGTGTGGAGAGTAAAACAAAAATGCTGTCGTACCCTGAGAATGACCCACATAATGTATGGCTTTTTGACCTTGGCCATTGGTTGCCAAGGCATAATCCACCATGGCGGCTAAATCATAATGACCTATTTCATGCCAACTAAAACGCCAGAAATAGGGATGATTAGTCGAACGTGAGGTATGATTACGAGAATAAGTATTGCCTCTGGCATTGCCCAGCCAAACATCGAAACCAGCATCGGCTAAAAGGAAAGCTATACCATCATTGGGTCCATTAAACATCCAAGCATCCGAACAACTAAATAAACCATGTTGTATTAACACTATGGGCCGATATTGATTGGCATTTTGCAATTTATGCGAATAGGGTATGCGAAACATGGTGATAATGTAACCATCTTCTGTAATAGTGCGATGTGTTTCAGCCGGATAACCATGGCCGGCAATACGATCCGCCTAAGAGCGAGTAAAAACTAATAAATATTTCAAGTTAATCATATACAATATTCTTTACCGTTGTTAGTCTGGGCTTTAACTTGATTTGTGCTTCTGGATTTTGAAAATATTTCAATATAGAAACATCGTGAGCTTTAACATTAAAAGCTGTTAAAACAAAAGCTAAAATAATTAGCAAATTTCTGCCGGACTTCATGTTCTTACTATCACTGCACAACTAAATTTAAATTTATTTCTTCAATTTGCCCAATAAACACTTTTAATGACCCCTTGTTTTGTCATAACAATTATCAATCAATTGGTATCATGTTTCCGACCAAAGCCAAATGCTAGATAATCTTCATCGATAAGCAATGTTTTGTTCTAGATAATACCTTTTTATAGACCTCGTAAAGTGTTTTAATTACTTAATAAATATAGTAAGCTGTTAATTTAAATATGAATGGGGCATTGATTAGGAAAAAAGCTTAATCTAAAATAAAGTTTTTGTTGAATCAATAAAATATATTTTTCATTAAAATAACTTCTTTAATTTCATCGACAAGAGCTTTTTTTAATAAAAATGGCTTTTTTCACAGTAAATCCCTTCTTACCTCATTTCCTCAATGAGAAAATTAAAAAAAGTTTTTACCAGCGAAAACAATTTTACAAAGAAATATTTTAACGAAAAAGCTTTTTCATCAAAAAAATATTTTCGACAAAAAAAAAACTTATTCCACCCAAAATATTGTTTTCAACTCTTTTATTAAAAAAAATTTGTTTCGATTTTTCCAAAAAAAAAGTTATTTTTCATTCGAAAATTTTTATTCATAAAAAAGCTTTTTTCGTCAAAAACATAAATAAATTTTTTCGAAAAAAAAAATTTTTTCCAAAAAAAAAAATTTCACAAAAAATTTAAGATAAAGCTTTTTTACAAAAAAAACTTTCATCAAGGAAGCTTTTTAATTTCAGAAAAAAGCTTATCCCAAGTTTTTTTTTCAACACAAAATATTCTTTTAGGAATAGAAAAATAGAAAATAAAATAAAATAAAATAAAAAAAGTTCTTCGCTGACACTTTTTTCGTGTAAAAGCTTTTGCTCTATACAGAAAATGCCATTTCATAAACAAAACTTTTTGGCTTTTTTATTTAAAAAAGCTTTTTTTGTCAATAAATTATTTCATAAAAATAAATTTTATAAAAAAATAAATTAAGCAAATTTAGAAGTTGCTTTTTCACAAAATATTAAAGAAAAAGCTTTAAAAAAACTTATTAAAAAAAATATTTTGGCTTTTTATATAAAAAATCTTCCTTATAGAAACATAATTCAAAAAAATTTAAGAAAAAGCTTTTTTCACAAGAAAAAGTTTTACCAAGAAAGCTTTTCCTTTTTAATTTCAAAGAAAAAGCTTTTTAATAAATTAACACTTTTAGGGAAAAAGCTTTTTTTACAAAAAACTAACTTCCAGAAGAAAGCTTTTTCTCTTAAAAGAAAATTTTGCACTAAGGAATAGAAAAAGCTTTTCATAAAAAAATAAAAAAAACTTTCATCAAGAAAGCTTTTCCTTTTTAATTTCAGAGAAAAGGATTTTTAATAATTTAACTCTTTTAGGGAAAAAGATTTTTTTGCAAAAAATATTCTTCCAGAAGAAAGCTTTTTCACTTAAAAGAAAAATGTTCACTAAGGAACAGAAAAAGCTTTTCATAAAATAATTTTTAAGATTCTTTTTTATTTAAAAAAAAAAAATAATTTTTACTCAATAATTTATTTTCGAAAAAAAGCTTTTATAGAACAATAACTTTTTCAAAAAATTATTTACAAATAGCACTTTTATAAAAAATTAAAGTCAAAGCTTTTTTCACAAAAAAACGTTTATGAAGGTAGCCTTTTCGTTTTTAATTTCGGACGAAAAGCTTTTTTTACTAAATTAGCTTTTTTCACAAAAAACGTTTATCAAAGGTAGCCTTTTCCTTATTAATTTCGGACGAAAAGCTTTTTTTTACTAAATTAGCTTTTTGAGAGTTCATCCTTCCAGAAAAAATCACTAAAAATCACTGTTAAAAGAAAATGTTTCACTAAAGGAAAAGAGTTGCAGAGAAAAAGTTTTTTTCTAAAGAATTTTTTTACTGAAAAAAGCTTTTAAAAAAACAACATTTCTCATAGTGGTAAATCAACCAAAAATTTTTTGATAACAAGAATTATAAAAAATATTTCCTACAAAAATCATATCGAAAGCTCTTGGAAAAGCTCTTAAAGCTAATTCGGTCTATTTTGCTTAAATCGGTTAAAAATAAAACAAACTCTTTTACTTATTTTTTCATTAAAATTAACTTTATCAGAAAAAGCTTTTTTCTCTCGAAAGGAAGTGCAAAATTTATCACTTTCTGATATGATTTTAATCAAATGTGTTTCACTATCTAAAATATTATTTCCTTTTTTGTGTTCCATTTTACTTTGGCGAATAATTTTATCAATTTTATTTAAATTTTTCAAGTGTTTTTATTAACAGGGGGTACGTTTAATCACTAGATAATGAACTGTAATTATTAGTGTCTAAACCATTAATAAACTCAGAAATCAAGTGGTATTATTTCTTATCAACATTTAAATTTTACTGATAAATATAGCGCAAAACAAATATTTAGTTTTAAAATAATATTTCAAATAAAATTGGCAAAAATCAGAATGCTACAAACTAATCCAATATAAGATCTTGGAGATACAAACTCCCAAAATAGTTTTTTAACTTCAATTTATGAAAAACACAGATATTTGTTTAATAATTTTAAGTTATTTTTTTAATACATTTTAATAAATACATAAATATTCCTTAAATCTAACCTATAATTACCCAGCAAAAAAAGTGTGGAAAAAGATGTAGAATTTTCATCACAACTAGTAACCCGAAGTGCTTCAAATTCGGGTGTAAAACCTATGAATTTTACATTAGCGTGTCATTGGAGGGATGTTGTTCATTTTTGGCAGCTTTGAACTACATCTGATCTTATTTTTAGAAGCAGTAAAAATCCGATATTTGGATGTCAAAAATAAAACACATTCTCTTAATGACACGCTTATGTAAATTTCACTACTCTTTCACCAAATCTTGATGTACTTCAAATATGTTATTTGTAATGACTTTTCCACATCTCTTTCCTCACTTTTAACTGGGGTTTCATTTGTAAGGAAATATTTGGTTTATAAAAGTAAAAAATATGAAATCGCATATTAAGATGTGATTAAGATGTGGTTTGTAAAGTATGACATCAATTATTTTTTGCTGGGTATCTTCAAAACTAACACCTCAACTTGGGTGGTAATTTCTTAATTTGTTGATTTTCTCCCACTTTCAGCACCGCAGACATGCCCATTAAAGTATGACGTTCGAGGTGACAGTGATACATCCAAAAACCTGGATTATCACTGATAAAACGTAAAATAATATAACCCAAACCGGGTATTTGTATAGAGTCCTTTTCAACGGCTGGGAAATCATTGGGGGTACGCTGCAAGAGGCCACGACGATCGAGGTCTTGAATCTGGAAAACAAAAAGAATTATATATGAGTTTATATAAAAAGTGGGAAAGACAGTTTGGAGATCATGGTCGATCAGATGATTTCCTCTATTAGTTATCATTAGCTGGAACTACATATATAGTGACTTGGGTCAGTTAAGAACCATTCTTTTCCAAATTTAGTGCAACGATGTTATATCATTACTATTTTTTAAAAGATTTTTGAGTATTGCATTGACCTAGTATGGAAGATAGTTGATATAACGGGCATATTCCCAGGTAGCTTCCTTGAATGAAGAATATTGTTGAACATTTTTTATATTTATAATAAAATGTATCAGTATTAGTATGATTTTAAGGAAATCGTCCTATAAAGGGGCTTAGTTGAATTCTAAACTGATCTATACAGAATTTAATAAAGTAATTCATTAGAATGAATCATTTATAATGAAACCTAAAAGTTTCTTATGATCGATTTGAACCGATGTTCACAACATTTGTTAGAGGTAAAGAAGAAATCAAAATGTATCGTTATAATGTTGAACCATAGTTGAGCAACTACTCATATGTAGGTTTAAAAAAGACTAGGAGGTTCTTGATACCACCGAACCCTCCGTCTCCCTCTCCAATAGCAACATATTGATAATTTAACATTCTAGTTGACTACGTTTTGTAATAGCCCTGTGCCGAAGTTGCACTCATAAAACTATCGACCGAAGTCGCAGTTTCTAAACAAACAACCAAAGGGGTGCCGAAACTATCGATCGAAGTCGCACTGTCTAAACAAACAACCAAAGTTGCTGTGACGAAACTAACGACCGAAGTCGCAGTATGCGAAACTATCAACCAAAGTCACAGTGCTAGATGACGCTCGAACCAATTCTGAACATTAGGAGCTGTTACCGCTTAAAACCGTCTAGAAATTATATCTGAAGTATTTGGCAAATTTTTGTCCTAGTTGAACCCCATGTCGATTTCAATCGCTTACACTCTAACACCTTCATCTCACTTGATCTTTATAGCTTTATATTAGATCGGATTAGAGGGCCTTTTGAGATTTTTCATTTAACTTTTTTGGACTTACTTTGATCTCGATATATGAGGAAGAATTGATAAAGTTCTACACTGATTCTGATCTATGTTTATCCGATTTGGATTGATCTCATTACTTCCCTTTCCCTGTTACCTATGGACGCTGGATTTCTTGCGTTGATCGAGCTATTATTGATAACGAAAATAACGTCTATAGCCTACTAGTCTCTTTCGTTCTGTTTTACATTTCAGTATATATAACAGAATCGAAAAAGTTTTATATATACCGGTTGGCTTGACCTCTGCAATATTGAATATTTTCTAATCATTCTTTCTATATCACTGGTAGCTAAGAACGCGGCTTCTCCAGTGTTCAACGATCTAATATTTATAACGAAAAGAGCACCAGTAGTTTGCCAGTATCTTTCATATCGGTTCTATATTTCTACGTCCCATGACTTCTTTTGCAAAGTCAAAGATTTTCGAAGTGTTTTCGATGTCTTGGAGGTTACTATGAAAAAAAACCTATTCTTCGACCTCATAAAGATATAAGAAAGAGGTTATAAAGTTAATCTGAGAAGCAACTTATGCTCCTCCGGGATCAGGCAGATGTGGGGACAGATACTGAGGGGGTGATATGGGAACTCGGTATTAGCAAGATAACTGTATAATTCAAGGACTAGTTCCAACATACTTGAGATAACAACCGAGATTATTATAAAGGCAAAACACAGCCGAGTAAGGCATGATTAGGAGGTCGCTGTAATATGTCCGATAATCCCTCCAAAATGGTGTATTTTTAGGAGATTTGGAAAATTTAAAAAAGTCTTACTTACCCTTCTCAAATCGTTAACATTTCCCAAGACTGCTTGACCCACAAGACGATAAGTATAACCATGTGTATGGAATGGCAGAGTTGTATCCAAATAATTCGCTACAACCAATTCAATTGGCCTATAAGCGGGTATTCTCAAAACATTCGTGCATTGACAATTATTATACTGGCAATTGCGACCAGCCTGTTGGAAAGCCGTACGATTACAATAAAAATTATCCTCATAATAGAGATTACGTCCCTGCAGCAGAGACACCTGAGGTGAAGCAAAAGTTATATCATCTATTTGGAAGAGATCTTCACCATTAGCACCACGACGCATGCCAAAACTAGAGTAGAATGTTTGAAATTTGGTATAAGCGGGCCAGGGTAAAGGATTTAAAGATCTTAGGCCAGCAGTGGGTATTTCATTGGCTTTTAAGTAGTAGGAATCTTTGGTATCGACAGAGTAAAATTCTGCCAAGGTATTAACATGTACTTGTCCTTCGGCAGGACCTTGACGTCCATACGTGGCTTCCGACATTTGTAGCAAAGGAGCTTTATTACGGGAGGAACCACGATAATGTAGAATAGCACCTTGATACAAACTATAATTGGCACAATCATTATAACCTTTAACCTTAATCCAATAATTTCCAGGATATTGATTAGCTTCCAAAACAAAATCAAATCTTTCGGCCGAAGACATAAAGAATTTATCAGCATAAATGGGTTCTATATCATTGCCATCGGTGGAAATCATTAACATTTTATGATTCTCTATGGAAAATTCCAAAGGACAATTGAAAACACCATTACCAATGACACGCATGCGATAACGCATATTCGGAGAAACTCTTAAACGTTCATATCTATTGCGCGAATCATTATCGGGCCAATTGTTTAGATGATTGCGGCCTTTACCGTTAATAAGTATATTGCGGGGTCTCATGTAATCATAGTTATATATAGTATCCTGTATGAGTAGGGTATGTTCAATCAAATCGAAGTCGTAAAGATGGGCATGTCTATTATTTTGTTTAGTTTGTCGGATAACAAAACTACCTGCTATACCCAAAGATCTTTGCCAGCCCATTTGGCTGTGATACCAAACCGTACCACTACGTTCAGCAGGAAAGGAATAACGGTAGACTTCCGCGGGTTGTACTGGATATTGGGTGATATAGGGAGCTCCATCACTTTCTGGCGTTTGAGTCATGCGCAAACCATGCCAGTGCATGGTGAAAGCCTCACTT